CTTGCGGAGGAGCGGAGGTCCTGAAAGACGCATTTCCATTGGCCAGGCTAGCGGAATATTTTATCGACGTTTTTGAAAATTTGATACTCTTTAGTTCCGGATGAGGGTTGGGACCCTTGTGGAGGAGTCTACGGGGGAAGAGGGGTATGTCGCGTTGCTACTTGCAGGAGACCTGGGCTATGATCTTCGTATGGGTCGAACTTTCGGCACCCCGCAGTGTATATGGAGCATATTTTGTGTATAGCCATATGGGGAATAAAGATACTTTATTAGGGGTCTCAATAGTAAGGATTATAGTATTTGAAAGCATATATTGAGGTTCCCCCTACTTTGGAAAACTACCATATAGATACATGAAGTTTTCACCCCAGTGTAACGCATTTGCCCCTAACAACACGCACCGAACCACCTACCCGGGAATACTGAATATGCGTCCATGTGTACCCCAAGATCAATGTCCCAGGATTCTGAGCTAGGTATCTCTCCTGCTACTCCTGCCTTCGATCTCGGGTTCCTCCATCGCTGCTGCTTGGGACGCATGCAGCGTGTCCTGTCACTGCTTTGCTGCGGGAAGAATTTCGGCATTGGATGCAGACAGTTTCTCCACCACTGCAAACTAGAACCCACAAGCCTCCAATATCCAAAAACCCCAAGGCCTAGTAAGTCCTGGATCCCATCTAGATCCTAAACGTGAGGCGGTGGACAGAACAGAAGGTTCACTAGCCAGAGCCCCGTTGAAGCTGAACGGGCCCTCCAGCTTCCTGGAAGGATGTCAGGCTCCGCATCTTGTCCGCCAACTCAGCCTGGTGCAGCGGGTGGGGGTGGGGTATATAGAACTACATGGGGTTGTATAGGGTATATATAGGTACGTATATAGGGGTGTGTTTTAAATTCTCTTCCCGAATTCGGTCAACTGCCGCGCATTTCGCCGAGCTTTAACGTGCACTGCAAAAGTATGCCTAGCTGTTTCCACTTTCGTTCACATGGCTTGCGGTAAAGGCCATACCGCAGGCAAAACCTGTCCACCACGTTTTCCAAAGCAGGGCCCCTCCTGAAAAGGCACAGCAAGCCGTTATCCCCCAAGTGTAGGAGGCGGGTAGGCTCGGGGTTCTCTACCGGTCAAGTTTCTTCATTGATTGCAAAGACTGAAGAAGGCAATTTGGGGGATGAGTTGCATGCTAACGTTTGGGGTGGGGGTGGAGTTTTGCATGGGGTTTGGGTCTTACAGTGATTTGGGTCTTTGACCATTCGATTGCGGAAAAATGCGGCTCCACTTACGATGACCATTGGTCCTGTGAGGCCCAAAAACCGCGGCGCCAAAAACCTAGAGGCCAGCCTTCTATCCCAGTTAATATGTCATCGAGCGTTTTTGCTTTTCTCGATTTCCCATCTCATAACATGGATAATTACGATCTCGCTTGTCTACTGTTCTTGTTGTCCCCTGATCTGCACACGCAGATGAATCGTGTCAGTTCTATATAAACCATAGAGACCCGGGGTTTCATTACAGCTCAGCTCTTGTGCAATTGTTGCATACGCCCGGCATGTGTCCAACATAATTCTTATACAAGTTTCCAGAAATGGGGTCTCTCCTTTTGTCTTCCCCAATCTACTATATAGCGCTTACTCGAAGTACTTCCCAAAAACAGAATTGGAAACTTTCCGATCATCTCGTATCACACGCCATGGTGCCATTTTTCAGGCCCCACGGAAGTAGAGATTCGAGGCCCCACAAAACGGATCCCTTCAGCTAGCATAGAATCTTCCGTAACAGAGTCCAATAGTATGTCTGCATATATGAATAAATCAAAAAAATCCAAACTGTGTAACTATATATATATATATGTACAGCTATATGTATATATGTATAGAGATACTATTGGGAACCTGTTTGATAACAGGGGGTAGTCGTGGGGGAAGGGGGAATGAAGGCCTGGCATGAGATTCTGAGAGCCCGCGCAAAAACCTGCCCTCCCCAAAGGGTCCGTGTAGCTATATGAGCTGTAATCTAAACTCCTAGTATCCCGTTGAATATCCCCTATAGTAGTCCCTTATATCATCCCCCATATGACCCCCTTTAAGGAGTTTAGACTATGGCCCATATGGTATATACTTGAGCCTTCAAGTCGGCATCGGTATATATGGGAACCCCCTTGGGCCCTAGGCATATACAAAACAAAAAAATGGACCCTTTGGTCTAAAAGACTCCAACAAGGATGCCGCAAAACATTGAAGTATAGGCCAGGTTGGTTCCACTTGACAATTCGATATAGGAACCTGCGTTCTGAGATGGCAGGATTCTTCAATAATTATTGTAGTATTCCCGTTCTGGCACGCTTTGATACTGTCTATACATTTTTGCTTCTATGGGAACCCTTCTTCGTGCAAACGCACATTCTGGAAAACCAAAATGGCTCCAGCCTGCAACGCCTGCAGGCGCTGCGACGAACGCAGGAGGTCTGCCTGTTTACTGGCCAAAGGAAAAACGCTGGTGCTCTCGAGCCTGTAAGGTACAGTAATTTCCCTACATAACGGGGCCCCAATATTATAGAACCCCAAATGTAGTCCGCAGATGGCACCTGCTTGGGCATGACTGGATCCCAGCGTGATCTATCCAAAAAGTTAAAAACGCTTTGAGGCCTTGTTCTTTGATAAACCATCATTCAGGGCCTGTTGGAGGTTGGGTGAAGCAGCCAGAACATGCCCTGTGGGTTTCCACATGCTATATATCCTCCGCCTGCAAAACTTTAAAATCATAAGAATCATGGGCTATGGATTCTGCAGGGTCTAGGTTGAGATTACGGCTGAGGGTTTAGGCGTGATAGTTTGAAGATTTAGGGCTTGAGGCTTTCCACAGAGGTCGGTTGATAGCCTAGGGTTTTGGGGTTTATATGGTGAATGTGGGTAGCTTCACATGTGGGGCAAGGACGTTCAAACGACTCCCACGGCGCTTGTCGGGGTGAACGCGTGGTAGGAAGCTGAAGTAACAAAACACAAGCAACAACTGAGCCCCTCTTGGGGTTTTGAGTGTTACGACAGGGTTCGTCGAGGTGAAAGGCATCTACCTAGATGAAGACTGAACCAGGGAGTTTGAAGGGATTTTCACATGTTGAGCATCGTTTCGTCCACGCAGCCCCCTTCCCTTCACCCCTGCATTGAACTGGTGTCGGCCTTCCACTCGTTCATGATCTTCTGCAACTTCTCTGAATTTTCCTCGGTGTCAAAATGGTTTTGGGTGAGAGCCTGTCCAGCTTTCGAATGTCAGAACTACGCTTCGGATTTGCTATGGAGAAAACTCTATGCACACCTACAATACACGGGAAACGTATGCCAGTGTGATCTCGTTAGCATTTTGGTTCTCGTTTGAACATAGCATACCACCAGAAGATGTGCCCCTGAAGGAATACTGCCACTGCGACAATAGCAAGTAGTACAAGCACCATGTGGGGAGGGTTCATAAATTGGCTCCTACTTAAGAAGCTCTATCCCGATGAAGCACCATAAATTTCTTGGTGGCCATTTCAATTCCCTTGTTGTTTTCCATGGGGATTCCCTACATAAATCTGTATCATCTCTATATAACCCTAAAACCCCCAAGAGCTTCAAACAAGGAGCCTTGATGTTGCGCCACTTCCAATCAGCAGTTGCAAGCTCGTGCTCCTCAAGGCCATGAACTGGAACACTCGGTTTAGGGATTATGGCTGGGGGTTTTTTGGATTTAAGGAACTGCCATCATTTAACCCTAAACCCTAAACCCTATTATAAGGACTAAGGGATTGGTAGTGAAGGTTTGGGCTGTATGATTTGTTATGGATTTCGGGTGCCGGGATCTCCAGAAGTGGTCCCTGAGAATAAAACATACCCCCTAACATGGTACAATAGGGTTTACCTGAACCCCAAAAGTATGCATAATAATGGCCTTTTAGGCTATATTTGGGGTTTAGGGCTATTATCTTACATACTTTTGGGGTTTAGGGATGTTTAGGGTCTAGGGTGATTACCCATTCTCACGGGCCTAGGTAGGAAGTCATTGTTGGAGGGAAGTGTTCTTGAATCTGCTCAGACAACACTCCGTCACCATTAGGTTGACTCATGCCACCCTCTGTAGCTCGCTGTTTAGGGTTTAGGGGTTTAGGGGCTACCTGTTTACATTTGCCTCCACTGCGTCCTTCAAGGAACATCAAATGTTACGTGGAAGGATGTCGTTCATTTGTCCACTTCTGTAATCCCTCCCCTGGTATTAAAAAACCATCATGTATCAAATTTTCTCTATATGTTATAGAAGCCTAGTATACCACACTGGAAATATTTAGTATTAGGAGTGGGATGGGGGGGTTGATTACAGCTGGCTCAAGGAGCTAAAGCTGACTCATGTGGGACCACCGCCCGTGAAGCTGAAACCAAGGAATACTAAGGGTTTACATGGGGGTTTCCCAATATTAGGAGTACCTTTTTGGGGGGATCCCCATACTAAGGATTAGAGTATTTTGGGGTCTATATTGGGGTCCCCTTCTTTTGGGAAACTACCATATAGGGTCAGGGCCAAACCTAAGCATATTTTTCACAATTAAGGTACTTGATGAAACTGAAGCCTGAAGCAAGCTGAACCCACTTGTCCTGAGACCCTATCAGGCTTGGGGTTTCCTTTTTGCAACATCCTGCGATTCAGAGGGCTATTGGGATACAACATAGAGAGCTATCTGTGGCTTGGAGTCTAAGCCCTAAACCCTCGTTGGTTCCCTGAATGCCTAAAAGCCCTGCACAGAGCAGCATAGTCAACTGATGCCTGTTCCATACCTATAGGGGATATATAATGGGCTTATATTGGTGTTTATATAGGGATAATGGAAAAGAAAATGGAAACTACTAGAATGGGATATATACATATAAGGTATTTATGGGGGTTATATAGGGATAGTGGAAAAGAAAATGGAGACTACTAAAATGGGTTATAGTACCATACCTGGGGCTTTGGAGGACACATTTTACCTCAGCTCATCGGAGTGCTGCGTGTCAACCCACGCGGCGACCTTTCCAGCTGAGACTTCGTCCGATTGGTGGCTGCCCCTCCGACCGGGTGATACGCGACGAATTGCGCCCAAGGTACGTGATTTTTGAATGCCCTTTCTCACTGCCTTAGGGGCACCTTGCAGGAAATGGAATACCAAAGCCGTAAAAACACCAGCGGCGTGCACAGTCAGGATGCCAAGCATGTTTTCCAGTTTCAGCTGGCTGGCAGAGCTGTGACCAGCTGACATAGTCTCAATAGCACAACGCTCCACGGGCGTGAGGCCTTTCTTGACTATAGCACGCCTCAGTCCATGGTGGTACTCCTCTAAGTACAATGATCCATTGCGTAGTTTTAGGGGTAATCCCGTACCCAACAAGCACAAAGGATCCCTAACATTGATCCAGGCGCAGGGTCCCGTCAAGCTCCATCTGCAGTGTCCAAAGTCCTAAGACGTCCCGTATCAAGGATGTGCAGGAGTCTTTGACATCGTTGAGGACCATCCAACCAGCATCTACGTTTTGCAGTGGTTCTCCGATGGTCTCCATATAGCAGTCGGGGTTCACACTTCCCACTTGCCGCAGGAAGTCGTACCTGAGGCATTGACTTTTTACCCAAAATCAGGAAGCGGCCTCTAAGATATAACATGATAACGAAGATCATCTATGGCTACACTGCTGCAGGCAAACATGGAATTCCAAACGATCCCTGCAAGCACATTACTCTAAGGCTCAGGCTTAGAGAGTAATTACATCCAGCCTCATCTTCAGCTCAGCTATCGCTTTCTTGACCACATGGAGTCAGGACTTGCCATAAAGCCGTAGTTTCCATTGTAAATAGGAAGACCCCAATATAGACCCCCCCAAAGCTATTAATCCTTATTACGGGGCCGCCCAAGAAGGAAACCCCAGTTTCAGGAAATCCTGAGCCTCGCAAACCACTCTACAATTCCAGTGTCCACTTCAGTCCCCCTTTTCTTTTTATCCCTTGAAATGCTGGGACCCCAAACCCTGACGGTTAAACCCCAAACCAAAAACGCACCAGTTGGGTGATTCCCAGATTTCGGCAAAACCTCAGGGATACCAGGGTAATAAAGGGGTCACAAAAGGGTTCCGTGGGGTTATGCATGGGCGATATCCGGGTTGTGACGCAGGGGGGAAGTCAGGGTTCTGCGGGGATCAAACAAGGGGATTCCGGGCGGTCCTTCTCAGGAATCGAAAAAGGGCAATCTATTTTGAGACATTCTGAAATACCCCCTGGCCAAAAGCCTGCCTAGGAGCTTCTTAATTAATGAACTTACTGGTTGTTAGTAGGGAATAAAGGGTCAAGATCCCTTTCTAATATGGAAATAAGGGGTTACAATTCCTATAATCCCTACATCATACGTTCCTTTTCCCGGCTAGTACTGAGACAGGACTTGTCCATGCCTTGGGCTCCAGAAATTGTGCAAAGGTCAGAATAATGATTGATAAACCCCCTCCCCTTAATAGGGATGATAATAGGGATCCTACTAAGGCCCTTAAAAAGACGGGGTTTATTGACTAGGGGTCTACAGAATTCACCTCGACCCGCTGACCACTAAGCCCTAATCGATATCTGCCCAGTATTCGGCCCGGAAGGCAGGGCCGCAATCTTCAATGCTGCTTACTGTTGACCAGGCATCCTAGGACACATCCTGGTCATAATTTGAATGCTTCCTACATACGCTCCCTCACGCTACTGTGGCCCACAAATTCGGCCGGAAAAAAAAAAAAAAAGGAC